CCGCGAACAACCGCACACACCGATGTTGCGCGGCACCTTCCCTTAGCGTAGTCCTCAGGTAATCAGTAATCGGAGCCAAAGCGAAAGCGAGCCTGGGCACGGTTCTTTGTAAGATACCCGCTCCTACCACACGAGACTGCGAACAAACCAACGCACTGGTACGCTACTCCTTCCTTTATCTCAACTCCGGATACGAAGATAGGGTTTTTGGCGGAAGGGAAAGCGAATGCGGTGCTGTGATCGATGGATTACTTGTTTGGGGATGTTTACAGGTTAGGCACAGTAGGTTAAGGTGTGGAGAATGAGGCTATGGCGTGGGATTTCGGATGATTACTTATTTTTCTTGTCGGTAACGTGTCGGTGGATACAGGGGTTACCCACGGCGAAGGATGCGAATCCGATGCTGGAATCGATGGATGGGCGTGGAATTACTATAGTTGGGCAGTTCGAAAGCCAAGATTAGTGATAGAGAGTTATTGTCCCCTCCGGCGATCGAGGGATCATGGATGTAAGGTTGATATCGCCAAGGAAGGTTTGGGTATGAGGACGGTGGAGACGTGGGAAGGATCCGAAAGCGAGAACTCTGATTGGAACTGTGACTCCGAATGAGAATGAGAAACAGAACGAGAGGCTGTGATCGATAGGATCCAAGATAACTTCCCATCGCGGTAAGCAGTGATGCCGTATCACGCGAGAACGAGAACACTAAGACCAACTCACGAAAGCGAGATACATCTCGTAAACACGAGCATAAGCCAAGACTAAGTAACGCCGTGGATACATGCAACCTCCACTCAGGTCCCACCTGCATCTCATCTCATCTCATCTCACCCGATCTCTGCCGTCCCCACACACTCCACTCAGCCCGACACCAAGACCGATATTTCTGAAGAATGAATTGACGGTATCGACGTTGCCAGTCCCAAGTAACACGCTCGAAAAGCTAAAGTACTGAGTGATAGTGTATCTTGAAACTCAAAAGCGAACATCCAAATAACTTTTTCGGACAATTTTGCAAGTCTTCTATTGAACTACAAACATACTAACGATCAAATAACCATCGTGCCACCACCAGCACCAACATCACCCCCAACTCCAACCTGAGGCTCAGAAATGTATATAGAACAACCGTTACCTATTCTGAATCAGTAACTGATCAGGATGATTTGTTCATTGTCCTTTTCATCACCGCCTCGCTCACACCCAGACCGAAGAATCTGACGGCGGAATATCCTCCATCAAACTCTTTCATATCCCGTCAAGTATTGAAGACGACTAAACCACTTGTAGGGGTTATGTCGCATTCAACGCTTTTCCGGGACTACTCTTGTAGGGGGGACAAGGGATAGGAAGAGCCAAACATCAATTCATACATCTCTCACGAGGAGGATGTTTGGTCTGGGGTGATTGGAAGAGTAGTTGGAGAAGAGAAGAGAAGGGGAGGTGGAGGGGATTATATACGTGTTGCAGGATGTGCGTGGGCGTGGGTGAGCATGTGGGGACGAGACTTACGCGGACGTATAATGAAGAGGGGGAGTGTAAGGCGTACCAGTGGTACAGTACTGCAGAACCAAACTCTGAAAACCCTCAATATGCAAGTATTATCTTGATAACATCAATGTAAGTTGAAATTCAGTGTATGTATTCTGCATGGGTATCTACTCTTTCAGATAACTCTTCAAGCCCTCTTTCCCTACATTCATCGCTCGCTCAATTTCCGCTTCTTCTTCGCGTAACCTGCCTTTCCCGTAGACCAGATCGCGCTCTTGCTTTCTCTTTTCCTCACGAACACGCCTCTCACGGTCTGCGAGCGCTTTCTTGCGTCGTTCGCGCTCGGCCCACTTCTTTGCGCGTTCTGCTTCTTCTTCGGCGGAGTAGACGACGCCTTCGGGTGCGGGTGGTAGCGTGGAGATGTATGTGTTGATGAGGCCTTCGCGTGTTGATGGCGGGAGGGATATGTAGCAGAGGTCGCTTAGTACGGCGGAGGGTAGAGTATCGAGGGTTGTGGAGCGGTTGAGGAGAGCGAGAGGCTGAGCCCGTAGGAGCGCTGACAGATCGGATTTCAGGTCGGATGATCGCATGGCTAGACGCTTGATGTGGTCGCGGTATAGCTTCTCCTTCTCTTTGTCTGGAAGCTTGGCATCCTTGAGCTCAGGTTCTCTCTTGTATTTCCGGCGAAACTCTGGCCAGTAGAGCTTTGGTGTGGCATGTTTGTCGAGGAAGGCCAGGTACGGTATCCGAGGGTCTCGTTTCGCTTGCCGGGCTTTCTCTTCCTTGAGGAATTGCGCTTTATCTCGCGACCATTCGTTGAAACATTCCTTGCGCGCTGCCATATTCGGTAAAGCTTTGTATCGGTCGTCGTCAAACAATACACCGTCCTCTATGATCTTGTCCCAGGGTGCAAATGGGCTGACTTTGATATCGTCGAGGAGCTCCTTGAACAGCGCTTTGCAGTCTTCTTCGGACAAAGCAGGCTCCTCCTCATCAAAATGTTCGTCGTAGCCCTGGTCCATCTCCATCTCCTCCATTTGTGCCAGTTGCCATGCAAGATCGTCATCTTCTTCGGGTTGTGGGTCTCCAGATGGCTCTTCGGTGCGCTGTCGTTTTTGTGCATGCCCTGACGCCTCGCCCTCATCGTCCGTGACTTCCACCTCTTCATACTCCTCATCGTTCTCCATGCCCTCCTCACCGTCCACTTCGACTATTTCCACCTCCTCTTCCGCTTCTGCAAGCTCCGCCTCGATCTCGGCCATAGCATCGTTCTCCTCTTCCACGTCGCTTGGCTCGCCCCGTTCCCTGCGTTCCTTCTTTTCGCGCTCCTTCCGATCGAACTCGACAACGGCAGTCATGACATTGGGCGGGAACTTCCAGAAACTTTCATTCGTGTCCTTGTTCCACACAAAACGTCGTCCGAACTTAGTCTTGACCAGAACCCAAGGCGCGCAGTTTGGTATGTCCTGGCGATGCTTTGGCCTATCATCGCGGTCTCTTCTTCGGTCGTTGAAGCTGTTCTGCCCTCCGCGCATCCCTCCACGATGCCCACCTCTTGCTTGTTGGTGCGCCCCGCCATGTTTGGGGAATTGCTTCGGCGCGCTCGCGAAGATGAAGTCGTTGATTGAAGGCTGAGGCTGAGAGGCAGTTTGCGCTGTCTGACTATCGTGGCCAAGGCCGTAATTCGAAGGCGCGTTGTAGGGTGCGGGTGCAGGTGGCGGCGTTGGATTATGGTATTGCGGGATCTCTGCAACAGGTCGCGTATATGTCGACTTATTTAGTTCGGCATTGTAGTAGTACGAGTGGCCTGTAATGTTAGCGGAAGCATATGACGCAAGTAGGAGCTATAGCTACCTGAGGGCGCCTTGTGCTCTGTCCAGCCTGGAGGAAGCGGTGCAGCTGGTGCAGGCGGTCGCACCGGTATGTCTGACATTTTGGTGTCGGATGTAGCGAGAAATTGAAGCTATTCAGCTGTTGCGAAAAGACTTAGGGATGGGAAAGTTGGTGTTGCAGCGCGCGCTCCAAAAAGTGGTCGGCGCCAAGCAGCCTGAATCGCCGACGCGCTGCGTAGGAGCTTGTGCCTGGAGCTTCCATCAACACCAGCCCACGCCCCGACTTCCCCGCCGCCCTCTCCCTCGCCCACCGCTGTCTACACCCCCAATACCACCCAGACCGCCAGAGTAGACCGTCATCATGTCACGGAGATACGACTCCAGGGTACGATATACCCGTAACCACGGCCAGGACACAGCTAACGGTGCATAGACGACCATCTTCTCCCCCGAAGGTCGCCTCTACCAAGTCGAATATGCCCTCGAAGCCATCTCGCACGCCGGAACAGCGCTAGGTATCTTGGCTCAGGATGGCATTGTGCTCGCCGCAGAGAGGAAGGTCACCAGCAAGTTGTTGGAGCAAGACACATCAGCCGAGAAGCTGTACATCTTGAACGAGTGCGTGGACCGTCAACATCACAATACCATGACTAATGTCGTTTCAGCAACATGATCTGCGCTGTAGCAGGAATGACCGCCGACGCCAACATCCTCATCAACTACGCCCGTCAAAACGCCCAACGCTACCTCCTCACCTACAACGAAGACATTCCGTGCGAGCAGCTTGTCCGCCGCTTATGCGATCTCAAGCAGGGTTACACGCAACACGGAGGTCTCCGACCGTTCGGTGTATCATTCATCTACGCAGGATGGGACCCCCAGCGCCAGTTCCAGCTCTACCAGAGTAACCCCAGTGGCAACTACGGCGGCTGGAAGGCTACCAGTGTCGGCGCGAACAATGCCTCTGCGCAGAGCTTGTTGAAGCAGGACTACAAGGAGGAGTGCGATCTGAAGGAAGCATGCGGGCTTGCAGTCAAGGTGCTCAGCAAGACCATGGACTCGACTAAGCTGAGCAGCGAGAAGAGTACGTTCATCACCTGACTACTATACCGGGAGAGTACTAACAATGCACAGTTGAGTTTGCGACAGTGGGAAGGACAAAGGAGGGCAAGATCTACCACCACCTGTGGGGAGCGGACGAGATCGATGCTCTGCTGAAGGAGCACGGCCTGGCCAAGGCTGAGGACACCGAGATGTCCGAGACATGAGCAACACGACCAATGCACGATATGAACAGGCGCAACGGAACGGCCTCTGCATGATAGACGAGGCTTGTAGTATACCATATCAGGTGAGAGCTATGTGGCATCTCGTAGCGAATCTCACTTCATCATGACCCGTTTGTTGTCTAGACCCGACGTAGTTTCTCTCTCGCTGACACGTGCATCCAATGGAAGTCTCCGGCGCTGTACGGGGCAGTCGCATGTGACGGCATTGTAGCTGCCTCTTCTGTTGTTTCCTTGACACCTTCCCCACGCACGACATCAACTCGACAACTTCAATTCCTCCGCCATGCGTCTCCCTCACCTCACATCATCCAGTCCCGTCCCAATCTTATTGCGCTACCATTAGCTCCATTACCAGCTGCATCGCCTATCACAATCTGTGAGCATCAAGATGCCTACACCCATCCTACGGCCCACCTCCAAGTCCCCAAGCGGTGCCGTGGCGTCGACATCCTTCCTACGCCTGCTCCTCGACGAGATCAGGTCACAAGATGGCCCTACAAAGGATGCGCCCCGACCGCCCCGACCAACCCTCAGGAGCCTACAGATCCCACTTTCGCGCTTCATAACTCAGCCAGATGCCACTGGGGAGGATATCGACCCCTCCAAGTCGCCACTTCTCTTCTGCGACTCTGATATATCGTCCATGCCTTCACCTGCTGAGCCTCCGACTTCGGCAGTGACTTCAGCTTCAACTGAGACGACGGTTCCGAGCTCAGCGCTGACGGACTCAACTGTGCCTTCAGATCAGAGTTCCTGGGTCACGTGTCGTACGTACACCAAATTTTTTACCATACCCAGGCGCTGACATTGCGAAGCACGCAAGCGAGGGAGAAGCCAAGAGACAGCCCGGCGACAACATCAGGCCAAAAAGCTGCGGAGCGACTCACCAAAACGAACCCTGGCGCCTACAATACCTCGGTCAAGAACACCTGAACGACACGACACGCGAAGGTATACGTCAGGGTCCCCTGAACCCCCTGAGACCCCCAGCTACCTGAGACCACTACACTTGATGGATACGAGCGACGAACTCAGGCACGACATCTCCATATACAAGAACCCCCATGGCGACGACTGGAAGAGGAACGCGCTGTGCAGACACTGCTTCCAGCGCCGCGGCACCTTCAACAGAATCATGACGCATGGCTACGAGGCGTGCGGTCGTGAGGAATGTTTAGATAGCCACTACTGGGAACCTACTCCTGGGCCTTATTACTAGGATATACGCGCTGGACGCGGTGGTTATAACGAGATTGGATTGAATGAACGGTTTTCCTTGCTATGACACTTCTTGTGAGTGATTAACTACATCCCGTACCGCAATCTGCAAGAACATTGTTCAAAAATCTTTTTTAAGGTTGAGGTATACATTGTCTAATGCCGTAGCAACTTATCAACTTTCAACAGCATGTATGCAGCAACCCGCAACCCAAATCCCACCCGTCCCCAGCTTCGCCGCGCCCACCATGAAACCCCGCCCGCCCATCACCCTCCCAACTTCCCAACCATTTAGTTTTGAGGCTCAGATATTTTCAGTTTCGGACTTGTGGATCCCCTCCTTGGAGAGATGCCTGTCCATCTGTCGTTATCATCACCGCCTCCGATGAACTGTCGGCCTGTTGAGTTCGAGTCCCTCAAGGACACTAATCCAGAACCACGCATTCTAACCAAGTAAGAAAGGGGCTTTGAGTAGTGTGTTTCTTGGTGGCTGTAGCTGCTCAGGCATATGGGCGTTTGACAGAAGGAAGATTTTTTTCGGTGTTCTGCCACCGAAGGATAGGATAACTCCATTTGATAGGAAAACAGTTTTGCGCATGGAGAAAAGGTGAAGGCGGGGATGCAAGGGCTTTTTATATTCCTGAACGCTGGGTGTGGGGCGGTACGACCATGGTATGAATGCTCAAATGCATCGTATTTGTAATATGGACCGTGGTACTCTACCTTAGTTACAATCCACTCCTTTGGTTGGTATTACGATGGCGCAAAACGATGGCCCAGTCCGATCGTCCGTCATACGCAGCATTTACATCTACGTACTGTGCACTCCAATGGGCTGTTTTATATCATCGAAAACTGATTACGCGCCGACATCTTAGCATCCAATCCATATTCATTATGCTCACCTTCTTGTTGCATCCCGAGGTTGCCTTGGCGGCGGCGGTCATACGTACCGCATGCGTCATCGTTGCCTTCAGGAGCGATAATCCAATCAACAGAACCGTCAGTCACGAACACACAACATCTGCAGATCCCGAATCAGCAGCAAAGGCAAAGGCAAAGGCAAGGGGTTGTATTCACGTCACCATAGCACAACATCACAAAGAGGAGGAAGAAAGTTGCCATTTCGCGCTCTCGCACTAATCTGAAACAAGCAAGAAATGTTGCCCAAGCAGAGTCACACAGTGAAGAGACACCGTCAATGCATCCGAAGACACTCTGGGCTCACGCTGGCAAAGGGCTGTTTGATATTCCCGACCCAGATGACCACGTATGCTATGGAAGAGCATCGTAGCGGAGATATCCTATTTCAGGCCCCGAAAGCCCGAGTACCCGAAGGTCCAAGGACCTCGAAGGCCAAGGAGCGGGTGGTATCCCTCAGTAGCCCTCAATAACCCTCAGTAGCCCTCATGCTAGCCCTCGGTAGCCCTCATGTTAGCATGTCACCGTGGTGCACTGTGCAAGGAAAGGAAAGGAAAGGGCGAAAACGAATGCAAGTGGGATGAAGGGGAAAAGGTGGTGTTGAGGGCGAGGACGGGGTTTTGTAGGGGGCTTGGGACGGCGGGCTTCTTGCCAGTGTTCAGATGCGCTTGCTATGGCACTGAGGGTGGCTGCTCGTTTCGATGGCATGGGGGCTCTTCGGATGGCAAGTGGCACGCGTTGGGGGAGAAGGCACTGATGGTTCGTGGCAGGAGTGGTTCACGATGAAGGCACGATTTGGGGTATGGAGAAGGGGAGTATGGTCGTATGGCAGGAATAGGGCTGCATCATGGAGTTTGATTGTCACGATTCATGGATTGGCAATGCATGAGTTGCTAGCTATGATACACATTCTAGATTTCACGCATTCTTGTGGAAGGCGACGTTTTGGAGATATCGTCTAGCTAACATTCTGCTTGTATGATTACATGCAGTGGAGTGTCTCCTATTGTGCATCGCTGTGTACATCTCAACTGCACATCACTCGAACGAGCACCAAATATTACATCGAACAAGAGTGATCACAATCACGGTCGGTAAACTCAGTGCACTTCGTGCATGTTAGTAGGAAATAGAATGAGGAGAATCGTTTAACAAGACTTGCATGGATAGACACTGCTCTATCTGCTTGATGTCATGGATGCACAACCAGCTCATGAACCTCTTAGGTATAGCTAGAAACCACGAGATCCCCTTCAAAACTCCAGCCTTGTGATAGTGTATCATTAACATGACGTATGGATGTAGTTTTAATTCGCATAGTTCCGATTCGAAAAGCCCGAGCAAATCATCACCGCCGCATCGCTCAACTCGTCATGTTCAGCTTTCCATTCAATGCAGGCATGTTCTGTCCTAAGACCGATCAATGAAAAGAGCCACTGTGAGGCGAACTGCATCAGTGACCAAGCTTTGACGTCTTACCCGATATCAATCAGGCGGACTATTACACATGTATCGAATGCGCAACGCCTTTCCCACCACATCACCATCACGACAAATCCAGAGAGACATGCATCAGCCATCCCGTCGGCGGCGTACTCGCGTATAATTTGCGCGCTCAAGGCGCTACCTAGAAACGTCTGGAAGAAGGGCTCCATGCTTTCTTTTTCTTTGCTAACGCCCGTCATCTCCCCTAGTGCATTTCCCACGTGGTGCCGTTATTGCGGCAGTCCGAATATGTATGTCAGAAGCTTACATCTGATGTCATCTCTACACTGAAAACACCACACCTAGATAAGCAGATAAACTGTTACAAAGCGTATATGTTGCGTTCTGCTTTCAAAGCCAGAACGAGATGCCTCGTGGTCTCGGGGATTGGAGTTAGTGGCAATCGTGGCGGGCAGGTGCGCCCTTGCGAGCTAGTTGCACAACAACTCCAACGCGGTCGGTGGCTGGACCTGATTACAACGCGAAGGTATGGTATCTGTCCTTGCGCGGATTTCCGGAATGAGGAACATGAGTTGGAAAGACGTTATCACATAGCAGTTTCCAGGGACCAGGGCAAATGCTTTTCCGAACGGATGGTTTTGCTAATTACGGCCCGCTAGTCTTTTGCATCGGCAGGTCTTGCGCCGATCGCGGCAATTCAAGGGCGAAGACATGAATCGCACCGTCGGAAGCACTGTCGGAAGTACCGTCGGAAGGCCGCTCACGAAAGACGACGGTGTTGTATGTCCAGATCGATGTGTGAGTCTGCCATGGAATTTATCGTCGGCACTCGCGCGTTAAATCCGCATTACATACCAACATGCTAATCAACATGTTCATGTTAGAACCCTAGCAGATGTCTTAGCCAGATAACGCACATACGCACCCTAGCAATCTAGACAGAATACAGGCTATCTAACTAAGAGCGCGCTAAGACATAGTATGCTAAAGCATCTATGCGTAGTTAATACGTACGCTAAGGTAGCGCCTTAGTAGATTAATTATAGATTATTCTTAAAATAATTTTACTTAAATAATAATAATATAACTTTACTAAACCTCTCTACTAAACTACGCTACTTATAATAGCTTACTAAATTTAAAGTATTCTTTAAGAAAATATATAAACTATTTTTAAATTAATTTATAAATAATTCTAATAAATTTAGCTTACTTATAAGTAATTTTTCTAGCTTAACTAATACTTATTTAGATATCTACTTTTTACTACTAATATATAGAATAAGCTAATTATCTATATAAGTTAGCTATACTACTATATTAGAATCTAAGATAGAATTCTTTATAAAGTATAAACTATTTCTAAATTATTTTTTAATTATTTCTAATATTTTTTCTAGTAGAAGTACACTAGTTATACTACGCTTAGAAACTACTTACGCTAAGCTTACTAGCTAAAAATAGTGTTTACTAAGTAAGTTAGAAATTCTACTAACGCTCTAATCTAAGCTAAAATAAGTAAGTTTATTTAAATTACTTCTTAATTAATTTTTAATTAATTTAACTTAGGTTTCTATATTTAGACTATAGCTATTTATAATACTATTACTAACTTTTTTACTATCTTCTTTACTAACTTTACTACTTCTTCTACTAACCTAGCTTAGGTAGAATTTAATAATAAGTTTAAGTTAAATTATTTATTAAGCAATTTAGACTATAAGTTAGATTAATTAGTAAATAATTTAAACTATAATAATTTTAAGAACTTTACTACTACACTAGATAATAAAAAAGAAAAGAAAGACTAGAAAAACTAGAAATACTCTCTTTAGAATATTATCTAGGTTAATAATTTAGAGAAAAAATAGATAAATTATTTCTTAAATATTTCTAAATTATTTCTAACTTTTATAGCTTAACTTTACTACTATAACTAATATAGTTAGAGACTATTATAATAATTAGGCTAAAGATAACTTTCTTTACTAAACGTGTAATATTAATAGCTTAGATATAGACTTTATTTATAGTAAGTTTTATTTAGATTATTTCTAGAATAATTTAGAATTATTTCTAATAAATTTAGACTATACCTTCTTCTAGAATAAAGAGAATAAGTATAAATCTTACTAGTTCTTTTTAGACTTTTCTTCTAAGCGTGTACCTACTCTTTCTAAAAGTAGTAGTTTTAGTAGGTAGTTAAGTACTATTTTTAAGTAAATTATTTCTAAAATAGTTTAGAATTAATTTAGTATAAAAAAATATATATTAGAAATAAAATAAATAAATATTATATAACTCTCTTTCTACTATATACTTTATAAATAAGTACTATTATTATATTATTAATAAGAATAATATACTATATCTTACTTAGTAGAATATACTAAGTAAAATATAGTTAATTATA